TGGGGCGGAGGGACGCAGCGCGGCGAAGCGACGATGCCCCCGTAAAGCACACACACACACCTAGCCACCACACACCACACAAACAAACACAAAACAAAAAAATCAAAAAAAAACAATATATAACCCGTACACAGGCCCACCACCTGCGCGAAGCGGAAGGTACGGGCCAGCAGCGTGGGGTCTGCCTCCACTCCCACCACGTGGAACCCCCTGCGGGGCGCGGGGTTTGGGTTCGGGCAGGAGGCGGCTGAGGTTGCCGGCGCGGCGCGAGGATGGGAGCGGGCAGGGGGCAGCGCTTCAGCCAGACAGGCACCTGGCGCCTCCACAGTGCAGGGCCTCACCACGACCTGCCCTGCCTCAATACCCGCCCCTCGGGGCCCGGCCCAGGCGGCCGCAAGCCCCCACAGCTGCCAACCGCTGCCCCTTCCGCGCAGCGAGTCGCACCTGCGCGCCAGCTCCACGCCGCCGCGCCCCTCGGCGCCAATGGCAATGTCGACGCACACGGGGTGCGCCTTGCGGCGGCCGGGGAAGTGCTCCTCTATCTTCTCCCACAGCGCCGCGGGGTAGGTGTTGCTGCGCTCCGGGGGCGGCCAGGGCAGGCGAACGGCGCTCAGCAGGGCTCCCATCTGCCTCCGCATCGGCACGGAGCGGCCCAGCAAACCCGGCGGCGCCTCGGCAGCAGCAGGAGCCGATCAGGCTCCCCAGCCGGCTCACCGGTACTGACTGAGCACATTCACAAAGCGCTGGCTGGGGTGGTGCGACTCAAAAATGGCCTCCTGCAGATAGACGGTTGCACCCACGGATTCAGGGGCGGGCGCGGGTGCAGGTGCGCGGCTATGCGGGCCAGCTGCCAGGTCCGCGGTTCGGCAGCGGCGAGCTGCGACGCTGCTGTGGCGGGGTTGGGGTTGTTGCTGCTGCTGGCGGCGCGCTGCACACCTCGCCGTGCCGTGTGGCTGGCGACTCCAACCGCTCCTCCATGCGCACTGCAGCGGCAGGAGGCGGCGGCCAGGGAGGCTCAGTCGTCAGGCGGCGCCCGAGGCCAGTGCGGGACCTGAGGCGCTGCGCCACCCTGCCCCCACCCCGGCGCTCGCTGGGGTGCCCCGACACCGCGGGTGCGCACCAGTGTACCACTCATTGGCCTCTGGTCGTGCTGTGGGCTGGGCAAAGTGGGCCGAGGAAGACTTCCGGGAGATGGTGAGGGCGGCAGCGCCCAGGGCACTGCTCAGAAAGGGTGAGAGGGCCCTGGCCAGCTGCAAGGATGCACCCCCGAAGGGTGCTAGGCCCGAGAGCATGGATGGGGGCTGCAGAGGTGTTGTGAGTGAC